CCATCAAGCTGTAAAAAAGCACAAGAATCTGTTCTTTACTAAGTAAGTGTAATTCCAAATATAGCACACGTTAAAGTTGATGGTCATTTCATTAGTATGTGTTTTGCTCAAAGAGAAGTGCAGATAATTGCCGTACAGTTAACGGATTAACCTACAACATACCACTATCAATCAGTTACCAAGCCATACAAACTGCCATTAATCATGAGCGATTTTAGATGTGTGAGTCCACTTTCACTTGTTGCCACAACCATACCTCAATTCGGGCAACTAGCCTACAAATACCGGTTGCTGTACGTCCTTTTAAACGTTAATGTCCTTGAGATTTGTATCTGTTAAATACATACGTCTATCTTTTGTGTTTTTAAACTTGGTTGATTTAATACAATTGTGAAATTACTTTTGGCAGTCAGTTTATAAGTGGAATACACTTGAACACATTCAGACAATGTACACGCAGAGGCTGGATGTATCACCTGCTGAAAATAAAGATGTTGCTGTTGGTATTCCCTCCTGCTGACATTGCAACACACGCGAGGATAACCCACTTGAACACTCCTAGTTTCATCTCTCCAAACACCTGGTGGAATAATATGAGTGACTGAGTGAGTGAGTTGAGTTTTACGCCGCACTCAGCAATATTCCAGCTATATGGCGGCGGCCTGTAAATAATCGAGTCTGGACCAGACAATCCGGAGATCAACAGCATGAGCATCGATCTACGCAATTGGGATACGATGGCATGTGTCAACCCAGTCAGTGAGCCTCACCACCCGATCCCATTATTCACCTCTTACGACAAGCCTGGGTTACTGAAGATCAATTCTAACTCGGATCTTCACGGGTCAGGTAGAAAACGAATCATCCTTGTCACTTTGAATGAGGATCACAATACAATTCATTTCCTTCAAAAATGGGCAGTGAAAATATTCATTATTGTCAGGCAAAAGTTATTTTAAAACTTAACTTGTGTTTTAATTATTACGTGCATGTGTCATTATCTTATGTAGGTATACACGGGTATGTGATCTTAGTAAATGTACAAAATAAAGACTTCTTCATATGTACATTTTATCTATGTTCATATTTATGCTCCAAGAAATGTTTAAAAGACCATATTCATGTTTATGCTTTTCAAGCAAATATATCACTGCTTGTTATTTGAAGTCTTATGTACGTGTATCAATTTTCTCGATGAGTTTTGCCCAATCTAATTGACCATTCACTTTTGGAAAAAAACCACACAAAAAACCCAAACAATATGCATCACCGTATATCACTGCGGTTTCTTTCTATAATGTACAGACTATTGCCACAGACTGCGTAGCAACATCGCTTCTATAATTATGGCCTGCAGAACCAGAACGTTTTAAGATAGATAAGATAGTCGTAAGTTAATGTTAAGGTATGGCACTTACGACTATCTTAGCGCTAAGAGGGCTTCAAAAATCTAGGCCCTGGGTCACATTTCATAAAGCAACGTTGCGCTAAGGTGATCGTAACCCCCATACTTTAACATTGACTTACGAAAGTCGTTTTTTGCTTCGATCGCTTTGTGAAACGGGACCCTTTTCCTTTCGGATGATTCGTTTCCTGTCTGACTGCTGCCGTTAACTACCACTTCCCCTTCATCACTCCCCCACATAGTTTGTACAATCAGAGATGTTTGTGTGGAACTACAGCTCACATAGGCTACTGCAATGCCAGACAGAATTTCGTCATTGGTGAAGAATGCGTAGTAGGCAACATTCGCCAAGACGTAAACCACGGTCGGAATTGCCAGTCCTGCCAAAACCGCAATGGGGATGTTTCTAGAAAACCAAAAGTTTGACAGATTTACAAAGGTAAACAAACGCAATGCGAACAGTATTTTCTAACCCGAGAAAGGGTGGGATTGTGTGTGTGTGTGTGTTGGTGTGTGTGTTAGAGGTCGGCATTGTATATTCTGAACGTCATGAGATTCTGAATACATGTTAAGATACAGTACCAGCGTTACATGACAAGATTCAGAAAATAGTACAAACTGAACTCATCACGCCGAAGACCCAGGTTCGATTCCCCACAAAAGTACAATGTGTGAAGCCCATTTCTGGTGTCCCCCGCCGTGATAATTGCTGGAATATTGCTAAAAGCGGCGTAAAACCATACTCACAAACTGAGACAACGTAAAACAACATACATTAACTCGACTGTTTACCTTGAAGGTTTGATGATCTCCTCCACTCCTCCATTGACTGCATCCCTGTAACACATAAATACGAAGTGGTTGCCGCAAGGAATATCGTTCTACCATTTTTTTCAGTATTTACAATTGTTGTTTCCATGTGTTATCATTTGAAAGCCTTGCTGAACATTTCTTTTAACGAGCAAGTCTAACACAGCTCTTTGTATGCAACCATACATTAAATCATCGCCAAGTATTGTGTTGATTGTAAAATATTTTGGTTTAAGCACAGTTTCTTTAAGAGCCTGGCGTGTTTTTTCATGAGCTGGACATTCAATGAGATAGTGCTGAACTGTTTCTAGGCAGTGTAAGTTACAGCATCCACACAGAGGAGGTATTTATCTAAATACTTCTATATGCCTTCAGTCCACATTGTCCAAGCCTGAGGCGAGTTAAAACAACTTCATCTCAGTTACCCAAGCAGTAACATGGCTGATTACCTCCCTTTGAGCGTATACTTTGCTACTCCCATTCGTGACCAACTCGTGTTATTCCGGGACAAGCAGAATGGCGACTCGTGCCCCTCTGAAAGAATTTCATATTGGCGCATGAACATCAGAACTACTTTAAACAAGAACGATAACTCTATCGCCGTTTGATTCCAGTGTTTCTTAATTATCACCGGAGCACATGTGCATTGTATTGCTAGGTTGTTGTTTTGGGGCTTTGTTTATTTATTTATTTTAAAGAATTAAATCTCTTTGATACAACTAAAAGAAGGAGAAAAACATATTTGTTAAAGACATATTCTAATGTAATTATTACCAGCTGTTAACCTTACATTTCCAATTGCCGCCATATAGCTGGAATATTGCTGAGTGCGGCGTAAAACTAAACTTACTCACTCACTCACTTACTATATTTCCAATTAAGGTTTACTAATCACAAATGGGAATTATTTCATTGAATGTGCATGCCAATAAAAGTTTTTAAAATTCAGCTACATTAAATCCCAAAGCACATACTCAAGAATGACTTTAAAATATTTCTCAAACTGAACATTCGTGTAATCTTGCTGTCATACCCCTGGTGGAATTTTAAATGAATTTGCTGAAAAAAGTATGAATGACCAAAAAAATAGTCAGACTAAAATATCCCCAGAGATGTGAAATATAAGCCCAATGTTTGAGATTAAAGTTGATTAGTTACATACAAATATAATATTATTGTTTTGAAACTCGTAGCGATTTGTAATTACATTTCCTAAAATTGTTGGAAGCGCACGTACAATCTCCATAGCAAGCCCGCAAGATCGTCAGAAATACTCTCAGTTGGACCCATGAGAGCCGTTGTGTCAACAAACGCACGTGCGTGTATTTGAATCTCTCACCGACAATCGCATGATTCTTATTAAAAACTTCATAACAGGCAGCAAAATCCTGTTAGCTACGTTCTTTGTACTTTCAATATGACGATATATAGTTTTCATGATTTTTTAAACAATGACATAATGCCATAAACGATTTAAGTACTCGGGATTATTTTTATCAAAGCACCGCAGTCATTTACGCGCGTTCTGATTGGTTTGTCGTATTTTCGCACATAACAAGCATCGATAGGGGGACGAATCTTCTTGGAGGTTACGGAAAGAGGCTCAAATTCGGACTATGTTTGGCTCAAACTCGAAAACTACTAAACATATAATACTCAATGAAACACTGATCATAATCAAAACATCTGACCAACTCTGTATTTTTTGTTGTTGCAGAATTTATGTCCTAAAAATAAAAAAGTTTAACAAACTATCATTAACATTTTGACACCGTTCACTATTTGTTACGACGGAGGACTGCAAAGAGAGGAACAGCCAGGTGTACGCGGAGCACGCGCACAAGTGCCGACAAAGTTTTTGAATCATTTACCTGTGCTGTGCTGTCCACAGGCCTTCATGTCTTTCGAGGTTTAAAGATTAATAAAATGTTATTTTTGAGATGACCCCCGACTCGGAATGCTTCACAGTACATATACATCATGACAAGGCCGGACACTTCGATGCACCCCACCTGACTGCTCTGCCGATCGCTACGCTACTATAGCATACAATCGATTAAAACTTAATGTAAACATAATCATACATGAAAATGGGTACCCGGTGGGATAAGTCATGTGACTATTAACCTTCTAGCCCCTCACAGGCAGCTTGGGTTATCCGGGGTAATAATAATCAGACTGTTAGCGCATTGAGCACACTCTGGTGTGGAGTTTAGCGCAGTATAAGAATCCATGCTAATAATAATAATAATAATAATCATCATCATCATCAACATCAACATCAAGTAGCAACAGTGGTCAAATTTCCAAGACTGGCCTAGGCGGGATATCCAGGGTGACAATATGACCTTCACACAAACTGTGCTGGATTATCTTTAGGTATGACACAGCAAGGGATTTAAACACCGACCTTCCCTTTCCCGGGCAGACGCTTTGTCCTCTAGACTACAGAGGCGGTCCCTCAGCCGAAGAGTCAAGATTAAACATGGTTTCTTGAAATATTAAGATACAGTAACTTGCACACCCTTGCGTTGGACAGTTATACCTTCCTGAAACCTATATGTTCAAATTTGTTAAAACAAATCTGATATGCGGACATGTTAACACCGTTAGAAGTGCACTTTGTTGACGATGTACGTAGGTAACGTATGGATAACTAACACGTGAACACGTCCTTTGTGAAACCAGGAAAACCTCATCGTGAAACGCGTACGTCGTTTCGACACCTGTGAAAATCCGGGTTAGAATTGATCTTCAGTAACCCATCCTTGTCATAAGACGCGACTAACGGAATCGGGTGGTCAGGCTCGCCGACATGGTTGCCCATGTCATTGTATCCCAGTTGCGTAGATCGATGCTCATGGTATGATCACTGGATTGCCTGATACAGACTCGATTATTTACAGACCGCCGCCATATAGCTGGAATACTAGTAGTGTTGAGTGCGTCGTTAACTAACAAACAAACTTTGCATATCCAAGGACCGATTATTTCCAGGTTGAGGTGATCTTGATTGAATATTGCCTGCTATGGCATACAACTACATCCGTTGATTTACCGATGAGGAAATGCAGGACCTGAAGTAGTTGACAAGATAATACTTTCGTGAGAATTCGAGTTTTGATGAAAGGAGACTTGTTTCGGTCTTGTGACCTTTGTTTTGAATGGCGTTTTGCCTAAACAGCTTAAAACAATAAACCTTATTATAGAACGGCTTCGAACAAATGACGGTCTAAATGTGTTTTTTTTATATCGAATTACATGGTGTTTCCGTCATCTTTCTGTTCCGATGGTAATAAACACTCGTGCGATGTGCTGTCCGGAAGAACTTCTGGCAGTTTCACAACTACAACTGACACTCGACCTGCAGAGGAATCCATATACGTTTCGTGGATCTCATCGTAGTGATGTTCACTTTGTGGTCGCGTTAAGCCAGACGCGGAGTACTTTGGGATACAGACAGACTGTGACGACGTTTTCTTTGCGCGTTTGCACACCCTGAAACATACGTTATCAAGCGTGAGGGTATAGGAATTAGCAATTTAGTTTTACGTAAGAGGGAAGGAAAACGTCTCAAGTTGTTTACATTTGATATTGACTTCAAGTGGCACGCCATGAAGGCGAATGTCGGATTAGGGATCTTTGATTCGCACCCTCGTTCAGCAAATTCTGACGAAAGAACGAATGCAAAGCCACAATGTGTGGCCCCCTAGACCAATGCACCCTGTTCCCCTCGTTATTAAGAGGTGTGACTGTTAATTCGACATTCTTGCAACCCCGTGTATCCGTTATGTAAGTTATATTTATCAGCCGAAATAAATCAGTGTATTCTGGACATAATGCTCTTCACATAATCATGTTCCTACTTGTAAGAGAGCACTCCTATACCCAGGAGTACAAGAGTTGCAAGACCTGTGACCACGAAGTAATTCCATGACACAGACTTCGGCTTCGGCCGGTGTGCTGGTACCTGAAATGCAAACAGGCAAAACATATCTTTAAATGCGTCCACTGACATTCTGTGAAGCGTATCCGAAGGGAGACGATGGCCACAAAGAGGTGACCTATTGATATGATGGGCGTACACTGAATATTTGTGAAACTTCAAATGAACACAACATCAGTTCAACAAAAGTTAGAATGGGTAGCAGCCCACAATGCTTGTTCTGCGAGCAAACTACCCAGGATTGGGACTATACGCTCTATGATGTGACGGATTGTGGATAGGGCTTGTAAGTCTCGCGAGGCACTACTTCCGGTACTAAACTGGTTCCCGGCTCTCTTTGCGCACGCCAACTTGCGATATACAAGACGGTGCCCAGCTTACTTCTGGTACCATATTTCCGGTGACAAGCGTATATTCAAGAACCAGTTCTGGTTCCAAATTGCGCGACCTACAAATATGACTTTAGTAGCACATACCAAATGTGCAACCATGCTTGGCTGTCACAGCTCTTGCCACTCGAAATGAGGGGCTAATCTGGGGATAGTTAGATCGGAAATTTGTTATTCCTGCAGGGATTATGGATTCCTTAATGCCAACTGACAACCATGAGACCATTCGAAAAGGTATAAACGTTTTTTGTCACTAAGTACTATAAGGTCTCGCGAAGTGCCGTGACTTATTTACAGGCCATTTCGCCGATTACATTTTCACATTGTTTGAGCTCTTTATATACACATGAGCATTAATTAAGCACCACCCATATTTCTATGTGATACAATATTATTACGAACACAGTACATGTTGTATATGCTTTGGAAACTAAATTCTGCGTATTAAAATGGTAACTGTAACATATTGTACTCTGATGAAACCAAGAAATTTACTTGGAAATTTGGCAACACCTTACTTGCAATCTGAATACACAAAGACGTGAACACCAACAATGCTTGAAAGTATGGTCACCATGACTACGCCACGGATCTGATTGACACACTGGCCTCTTCAATGTACAACAGATAGTCCCAAAGATGTTCCATTAGGTTCTGGCCATGGCAATGTTTCGATGGCATTGTTCTGCAAGTGGACGATGGGGATGCACAAAGGCGGCATTTAGTATTTCTAGTACACAATCTCAGAGCTATAACTAAAGGATTCAGCTGCATAGATCATCTTGAGAAATGCCTTAATACGACATCTCAGTACGCGACAACGGCCTTCGGTAACAGACAGCGACTTTCATCAGACCAATGAACCCTACGCCAAGTGCCCAAGCTATTGTTCTCTCGGAGCCTGCACTACGTTCCTGCCAGCTTCTAACTCAACATTTGTTGGTGCAGGATTTGGGCATGGGTCAGGAGGTTGCATCTTGCCAGACGCATTAGCACTCGGTTATTGGTATTGGTCTTGGACGGTCCTCTACATCATAAGGCCTTTAAAACACATTTGCTTAATGTTCAAGGAAGCACCGATGTTGAAATATGGCAGCCCAGTGTCACGCATGCCAATAACTTGCCATCGTTGCCTACGTCTTCCCATGTCAAGAAAAGTTAATGTTTAGTACTGTCGTGTTTCAAATCAGTTCAGAAAACTTTAGCGCACATAGGAACTTATACCGTAATCTGCTTGGCGCCTTTACAGCAGGTGATCCATAACAATTGGGATACAATGTATTGCGTGAAGCACGTCCGTTCAGTGTGTTTTTCAGTATGCTACGGTATGATCGCCTGTGTGGACCAAAATTTACCAAATTGAACTCCAGGTGGTGCTTAATTAGTGCTCGTGTGTATATTTCAGCCATTTTGTTCTTACATAGCTGGCTACGTCTTAAAAATATACATGACTATAATTTCACATATAATACGATCCACTTCAAAGGATCGTAACTGAAAATATATTACTTCTGTACGTACCATACACTGTTGTAGTCATGGCAATTTCCATCGTTGTCAAGGATACGTTCATACAAAGTCCATTGTTTCGATCACAGACGTTAGGGGAACAGTTGAAACAGGTTTGTCTACAGGTGTGTCCATAGTACCCAGCATCACATTTCCTACATGTGCCTGATGATTGAAGGCAGCCACTGTCCTTGCAGTTCACACATGGCAAATGACATTTAGGACCATGGTAGCCGTTTATGCATTTAACACAGTGTCCCGATGTTTGATTACAGTTTTGGTCTAGACATCTGGAGCTACATTGATCTGCACATAGCTCTCCCCAGAAACCAGGCTTACATCCATGTAAACATCGACCCGTGTCCCTATCACACGGAGACGTGCAGTTCTGTGTTGGACAAACAGAGCGACAATTGTCGGAACAGGAGGTCTTACAGTTCTCTCCCATGAGATTGTAGGCACATTTCTGACATTTACCTAATGTCTCATTACATATCTCACATCCGGGCAAACATTTATCCCCACAGACATGGATGGCTAAACAGTCCTTCTTGCATCTGCCATCACTAAGACATCCTTGTCCTCCACATGCATTTGGACATTTGTGGCATTGTTTACCAAAGTATCCGTGATCACACTTGATACAGACGCTTGCATTCTTTCGATCACATTTTGAGCATTTGTTCATGCACGGGAAGTTACACGTTTTCCCCATGTACCCATCGTTACACCCATCTGTGCAGTCAATATTTCCATCATCAAGAAATGTACAGGTTCCTCTCAAACAGTTGACCGGACAGCTTTTTCCAGCGTTGATTGGTGGACTGACAGCCGCTGGAACTGTCTTCGTAGTTATGTTTGCTGCTGTGCAGTCTCTTATCAGGCCTGTAAGAGCGCAAATCAGACAAATTTATCGGTGTACATTGGTGGTAAACTGATAGTGTGTCCTGTAATTGCATTTTCAATCTGATCCATTTTCATACCTTCCCTTTCTGTGAGCAACGTAACTGATAATGACGCGAGTTCAAATGGAATATGACGATATATACGCTTGATATACATGGCGTTATATTACATTGGGTTTTACATCAGCTTTGTATGAATGAGAATTGAAAGGGACTTGAACTGCACAATAAAGTAAACGATCTCGACTGTTGAAAATTATACGACAATGCATCATCATGTCCTGTCACCTACATTAAAATTAATGATGTGTATTTCGCTTTCTTAAATATCACTGAGGGAACGAAACGTTTATTAATACATATATCCTTTTAATATGCTTTAAGGGCGTTTCAGGAATATTTCTTTAACTGCGAAAATCGCATGCAAGGTGTATCGACATTAGCGACAGCCATTAGGGACGAGACCAGGGATATACATTTCCACAAGACCAGTGTAATGCAAAGCAATTTTTAAACATAAATGTCTGGACAAACCTTGGTATGCAGCAGCAAAATAATACAGTATTTCCACAAAGTCTTCCTGAAAAAAAAAAGAATAATATTTCATCATTACCACTCAGAACCGTCTCTTTACGAATTGTGTCGAACTATTCGTGGACCAGTTTTGTTGGTACAATCAGTTATTCCCTGTTAAAGGAACCTAATGACACGGTATGAGCGAAATATGCATTGAGAAAAATATTTCTAGTAACATGGTTTTTGGATAGACGTCGACAATAATTACACATTTACATAATTTACAAACCAGTTTGAATGATTTATAAAACAAACAAACAGATCTGATGATACGTTAACGATGTTCATACATCAAATGTTGTAATGTATGTTCATAATTATATATCGTATATAATCGATTTTCAGTAAGAACGCATCTACGAAAACGCAGTGTGTCTTTGGAGGACATTTAGAAGTGTAGATCATAAAAGATACATAAAAAGTTAATATTCAAACCATGTTTGACTCAGATAAAGTGTTAATGTTATGAAATGTGGTGTATGCGTACGCTAGTGATAGCTAGTTTCTTGACCCCTGCCCCACATTTGGACTCGTAACGTCACTGTCACGAATATTTAACATGCTGTTCTTCCGTCTTTGTATGATATCAATGTCGACCAATTGAGGTTTAGATGGAAATTTTTCATTGTTGTTATATTTTCAAATTTAGAAACATCTAAATAGGCCTACAACCGAGACAGTCGCCTGCAGTAAGATAATAACAGCAAGGTCCAGAGTAAAGTTCTGAGACTTACCAGGCCATGATGTTGCAGCAAAGCACACTTCCACAAACTAATCTTACGTTAACGAGATACTGACGTAGTCACTATAAAGAACTGTGCTGCCTCCTGTCGGTTAAAGTCTTGACTGGAGACTCTTGAGTTTTGACATTGAGTCAGCCTAATACACGGAAATATAAACGATGTATGTGTTGTGAAAGTTTGCCTGCCTGTTAATTGATACCGTAAAAGGGACTGTTTATAAATATAGAAGCGACAAAACCCTTTCCTCATTCATAAGAAATCTCTGCCAAAAGCAGAATCGGTTGTTCAGTTGTGACTATATCATGAGCAGATATTTGTTTCAGCAGTATTACAGCTGTATGATATTGTTTGTAAACAAATCAGGGTCTGGACCAGACAATCTAGTGATTGTCACCATGCGATTCGATGACAGAGGTGAGGTGAAATTGGGTTTTACGTCGTGCTTGAGAATATTTCGCTCATATGACGACGTGCATGCGTGTGTATGTGTATGTGCGGCTGCTTGTACTAGCCCAGACTTAAGCTGGTTTTATAGTGCTAGCCCACTGAGGTACCATGCCGCAGTGAAGCATGAATACCCCACTCAGACACATTATACTGACTCCGAGCCAACCAGTCCTTATTGTACCCATTAATGCCGAGCCCCAGGCAGGGACCAACAAGTACCATATTTTATCGATGACAGAGCATGTGTACATGAATCACTATGGAATAGTGATGAACCAGCTGTTCGTGAAAAGGTGAGCATGAAATCCCTTGAAATTTAGGGAATACATGAAATCCCTGGGGTCACAGTGATTTCACGAAATCAATGACTCGTTTAGGGATTACGTGAAATCCCTGGTTTCACACATTCCCTGTAACATATACATCGTGTAGATCCAGTCCTTTCCGATTCATATTGATGTAACGCTGATGAAAAAGGTTTACAGAAAAAGGAAGGTTTGAAACTGAAAGATTCTGAAAATGCAATAACAGGACACATTTTATTCTCGTCCATTATCAATTTACCGCCAATGTCTACCTATATATTTGTATATTTGCTTTGCGCTTTTACAGGCATGATGAGAGACTGCACATCAACAAACACTATAACTTCGGAGGCAAGTGTCCGTCCATTAGTCTACGCTGAGAAAAGCTGCCCGGCCTACTGTTTGGGAGGAACCTATACATTTCTTCATGATGGATGCATTGACTGCACGGATGGGTGTAACGATGGCTACAGGGGGAAAATGTGTGACTTCCCGTGCAGGAACAAATGCTCAAAATGTGATCGAAAGAATGACGGCGTCTGTATAAAGTGTGATCAAGGATATTTTGGTACACATTGTCACAAATGTCCAAATGTATGCAGTCAAAGTAAACTTAGGCTCAGTATTATTCGTTGCACTGCTATACCGAGTCTATCAAACCCTAGTAGAAGGTCGCGACCAATCAGAACACGGCTTACCAAATCGCGAAAGTTAACATTCGCACATATACCGTTTGAACTTTTACCTCGAAAACGTTTGTACTCGAACGATTCCGATTGCTATTTTCCGCACGATCGCGTCCGAGTGATACACATGGAGAACGCATGTTTGTCAATATTCAAGGATGTCATCTTGCGGAAATATAATATACTCCTCACAAAAAAATGAAGCAACAATCATTTTCAGTGTAATATCTTTATCAATCTCAATAGCGATTTTTGCCGAACTGTTACTGAAAGGTAAATAATCAAAGAATACATAGTAACTTTTAAAATTGATTTATCGGATAAAATTGACACGTCACTCAAACACAACCACCCTCAGAAACAACATGCGAAATGTGTGGCATGAATGTGCTCCACTCTTCACAAATGCATTGTTATGGATGATAATGCCCGTCCATTGATGATAATGCCCGAGAAAGAGTTGTTAACAAAGTTATTTAGATCAGCAAAATCACACATATGGACTGGCCAGCAGATCACTTGATCTAAACCCCATTGAACATGCTTGGGACATTATTGGAAGTCGTGTTTACGGTATCCATGTTCACCCCCCATACGCGTTACTGAACACTGCTTCACTGTCCAACACTGACTTGAACCTTAATGTTAACATTTTGCTCCATCAATGCAGCACATTGTGGACGACTGTTTCGCGGGTACATGCTTTTGATGATTTGTAAGTCGATTATTGCTCAATACCATTTCATTTCATTTTGCTAATCGTGTGTGCATATGTTTTACCTTTCTATTGCATCATTCTATGATTTGCAATTTCGAAATATAAAAATGTAATGAAACTACAAATTTGTGTTGCTTAACGTTTTGTGAGGAGTAGTAATCATGTCATCAGAAACCCCAAAGCATATGTACTGCAGGTCAAATATCTGTGTTTTATGTTGAGAGATCAGTGTCAGTGATCAGGGTAGAGAAAATTTTGAAAACGTCCCACCGAACCCCAAACAGTAGCCGTTTTGTGATTGGTTCAATTCTTTCGGTCGTCTCGCGTTTGATTGGACGGTCAAAGGCCACACAAGGGTTAGCTGACGCGACCTTCTACTAGGGTTTGTTAGACTCAGTATAGCAGTGTAACGAATAATACTGAGCCTAAGTTTACTTAAACTGAAATGCATGTGGAGGACAAGGGTGTCTTAGTGATGGCAGCTGCAAGAAGGACTGTTTAGCCATCCATGTCTGTGGGGATAAATGTTTGCCCGGATGTGAGATATGCAATGAGACATAAGGTAAATGTCAGAAATGTGCCTACAATCTCATGGGAGAGAACTGCAAGATCACCTGTTCCGACAACTGTCGCTCTGTCTGTCCATCACAGAACTGCACGTCTCCGTGTGATAGGGACACGGGTCGATGTTTACATGGATGTAAGCCTGGTTTCTGGGGAGAGCTATGTGCAGATCAATGTAGCTCCAGAAAAAGACCCAGAAAAAACATCAAGGGAAAATATGCTGAGAGAGAGAGATTCATTATTTCATCCAGAAATCAATCCGAAGATTATTGATGCATGAATTCAATCAAACATAAATCACATTAGTATTTACATACAGGACAATGTATTTCATTGTTGACAATTGATATGTACATAAGTACATGTATAATGAAACATTCACAAAGGGATGGCGTCACTTGTACACAGAGTGTCTCCATTAAAATACAAACTCAAGATATTGTTTCAAATGATAGACATATGTTGCAAAGTTTATAATGACAACATGGTATGTGTCCCGCACTAGGGATCGTGTGAACTGTGTATCTGCACTTTGGAGAGTTGACAGCATTTCATCGTCTTCCAACATTTCAAAATTTACATAGGTTTCAACATCAAGTAGATCAATCAGAGATGAGAAAAGGTTATTTCGGAGAGGTAATAATTTTTCACAGTGTAGTATCACATGGTTGTCATAATCATAAGCGTGCTTGTTACAAAGCAAACATTCTTTTGAAATTTTATTTCGTGATGAAATTTTCAAACACAATCGCAAGGCTGCTCTGTGTTCAGGCTATAAAAATGCTAAGTTCAAAAGTATGTGATATATCAGTGATGTATGAGCTCGCATGTAACGATACAGTCCTGCATTAAGTGATACTTTGTTACGCCACATTTGTTCTTCACATTCGTGAACATGTTTGTTTACAATCTCCACTGTCTTGTCTCCACTTTTTTTTTTTGGTTTTTTTTTGGGATGACCACTGTATAAATGAGTATATAAGTAGTTTCTAAGGTTGTATTTGCACAAAACAGACTCAAGATCTCCACAAATAACTGATTTTCAGGCGTATTAGCCATGGAAGCACAGAATGTGTGTTTTATGAGATTGTCACAACTAGTGTTGCATAAAGAGCCAAAGAACTGGAGTTTACTTTTATCAATGTAGCCAACCATGGTCCACCATCCTAAGTTTGCAATGGTGGATTCAAACGGAGATCGCTTATCTAGTCCCTGGACAGTGCGGGCAAAGTACCGCTGTGTGTTTTCTAGCAAACAAAGTTGCTGCCCTTTAATGTCAAACAATAGTTCACAGCCATAAAAGTTGTTTTCAGAATCATTGTTTGCCATATCTTAACACTGGTAACTGGATGTAGGTCAGTGTTATTTAGCCCCAAGCATTTAAGGGAATTAACACTCTGTCATGCTTTCTGACAACACTTTTCAATTCTAGATTTACATTTTAAATCAGACGGTAGAAGTATACCGCCGTAAGTAGTGGAATCTGCTGATGCAATGTTTTCATTGCCAAGAGTGTAGTTTACAGTTTTAACTTTACGTTTACTTTTATCAAATATGATTACTGTGCTTTTTGCAGGATTGTATGTTAAGCACCATTTATTGACATATCTGTGTACAGTATCGAGAGCAATTTGAAGTCCCTTTGGTGAAGTACTAACAAGTGTTGTGTCGTCAGCAAGCAATATAGTCGGAACATTCAGACCATACACACTTAGGCCATTACTAGCCTGTCTCAGAGAAGAAATCAAGTCATTGATAAACACTAAGAAGAACCAGGACGACATGACACTGCCTTGGCCAACACCTTGCTAAACAGGATACCTGTCAGAGTTTTCACCCTTATATCTTACAACAGCATAACTATTTGTATAACTGTAGTGCAGTAGTTTCCAGATGTTTCCCTGGATGTCCAGTTGATGTAACTTGTAAAATAGACCATCGTGCCATATTCTGTCAAATGCTTTTTAGTTACCTAAAAAGGCAGCATATACTGTAGAGTTTTTTCTCAATGTAATATCTGATACATTCAATAAGAGCAAAAACGCACATACCTGCCCCATGTTCCTTTCTAAATCCAAATTGGAGTATGTCAGGGAAATAAGGATTATTTTCAAGCAATTTAGTTTCTATTCGTTTGAGTTATAGCTTCTCAAAAAGTTTTCCAAGGCATGACGTCAGAGTAATTCCCCTATAGTTTCGGGCATCGGATTTTTCCTTTTTACCTTTCTCGATTGGAATCACCATACCAAGTCTATAATTAAAAGGCACATAGCGAAATTTAATCACTTTGTGAAACAGGTCACAAAGGTGTGTAATGAGACACTGGTGCTGGTGTGTTTCAGCAGCCTTGTTTTGCGCTGTTTTCACAATGTTTCCTTTCATTCAAACTCAACGAATATTGAATCAGTTACTTCACTGCATATTCCAACATGTCTGTTAAAGTGCCCATTAAGCACACAAAAAGTTGTAATTGACCTCAACACGTTTAAGTTTATTTATGACTATCAGATTTTAGGGTGTTCCCATACTTTTTGCTTGAAGTATATTACACAAAAAAAGACATGACGAGTTTTCCTCCACGAGGGCGCTATGTCACCAGCTGATATTCCAAGTCAGACATCAGTAATAGCACATATATGGTGCTCAAAGGATTCAAATCGCACGGGAACTAAAACTAGTGTGGAATGATCCACGATGCATGTTCTGGAAACTGCCTCGACATTTCGTCTTCAGCTAAAACCGTGTTCTATCATTCAAGATGAACGAGGGAACTGTAATAAGGTTCATCGCTGTTTGTGTTACCCGAAGTTGGGTCCATCATTTCCTCGTTAATCTCATCGTATTCATTATTACCGTCTACTACATTCCGGGCAGCTGGCTGATGGCCACTTCTGTACGTGATCAAACTGGATTGAACTCTTCCTAATCTGAAACATTGAAATTTAATCATTGGGTTTATCAAATTTATCAGAATGTAATCGTAACATATTCACTACTAATCTCAAAGACTGAGTGGCTTTAGTGAAATCAACACATAAATAAATCATAAAGAGACTATACTTGGAGGCCCCAAAAATTGGAATTTCTTAGAAATTGGTAATGTTGTGAATATCAAGCATTTGGATTTTTCAACTAGAGTACGGTAAATGGTTGAAGCGGGGCTCACATGTTACGGACACGCACGTAGTTGACCGTAGTGAGGGATAAACGTAGTAAACCGTATTTGACCTTAGTTAAACATAGATAGGCATATTTAAGCGCAGTTCAAGAGTAGATCACCGTACTTTGAACTTCAGCAAACCCACGATTTGGCCGTGGTTAGACCAAATAATTTTCAACACGCTCAAAATGTCTCTACGGCTGTATGGCTTGATTCATAAGACCCTATTGTTACTGCATGAACGTGTTTGACCCTAAATCTCCCAAGGAGACCGTAATTGACCTTCCTGCACCGTTGTGTTGACCGTAGTACACCTTGGTAACATGGCACTACGATTAAACTACCGTTTCAAATGAGTTACGGTCAACAACGTTTATGACCATAATCCGCCATATAGCTGCTATATTACTGAGTGCGGCATAAGACTAAACTCACTCACTCACTCACTCATGACCGTAAGATGTGACCACCTCTTAACACTCATTCTGCTCTTTGTTTGTGTCTCTCAATGTCCTTGCCTTTTGGCATGTCATGTATTAATACAGATTTTACTGTCCTTCCTTGAAGCCACAAATTTCGACCTTTCTGGAACGATATGTTTTATTCTTTTTACACATACACTTATCATTCTAATGTGTTGGTACGGCGACACGCATTCAGAGTTAGGTATAACTCGACGAATATATTATCTATATAGACGTATGCTGTCACATGTCATCACAGGTCTAACTGTGCCAGCGACATATACTCGGAGCAGGTGATTTTAGAACTTTACCACTTATCTACTTATATCTCCACTGTTTTTGGGCCCGTGAAGATTGGGGTTAGAAATTATCCATGCTTGTCGTAAGAGGCGACTAACGGGATCGGGTGGTCAGGTTCGCTGATTTGGTTGACATATGTCATCGTATCCCACTTGCGTAGATCGATGCTCATGCTCTTGATCCCTGGATTGTCTGGTCCAGACTCGATTATTTACAGACCGTTGCCATATAGCTGGAATATTGCTGAGCTCGGCACAAAACTAAACTCAATCACTCACTCCACTGTTTTTTTGTCCTCCACAATGCAAATTTTGCCAAGACACCTACAGTTTACCTACCGACAAACAAGAAAGATGATCAGTATGGAGGAGACCGCACCAAAGACAGCCAATGCCAATGTAACTGGAGATATAGTGAGTAACTGGTGTCCAGGTGCAGTCGGAATACTTGTGTTGCCCAATTCTGTAACATGAGTGTGCATATATACTGAAAGGCAAAAGAAACGTCGTAATATTGGAGATGACATGTAAGTGTCAATGGAGTATTTGAACCAGTCCTGTTTTGTTAAAAGTCAAGTTTGAGGAAACCATGAATCGTGGTCGGATAGCCTGTTTTGCCCAATAAATTATTGTTTGAGATTGAGGTCAGAAATGTGTTTGTTTGTAGAGAGGGAAAAGTTCACTTGTTTTCTGAACATAGCAGCAACACGTCTCGCTAACTTAGCCATAGCTGCTGTATTCAGAAAACAAGTGAACGCTTGTCATTCAAGCCGGCTGAATGTACGCGTGATGCATGACTGAATGTATGCGTGATGCATGATGTATTTGTGCGAACTCTTCCCTTCCAAGAAAAGGCCCTTCAGAGGATTAGGAGTGATGGTTGTCATACAGTCATAACCACCCAGGTTACAATCGGTATTGACCTTGAAACGTGTAAAGACACGCAAAATGACATTTTGAATGTTTGCATTCACCAATTATTTCAAAATAAAACATTCCAGGCCATACTTGTACAGACATGGTTTTGCATGAAAATCAGTGTTTTTTTTGTTGTTGCTTTTTTAAATAAGCAATTATAATAAAATCAACATGGATACCAATCATTTCGTCGTTTTGTATGAGTCAAAGGACCATATGTGTCAGAAAAACTCATGTTTTTTTATCGTGGTCACCACGAGAAACTTAATATAAGTGATGGAAACATATCATTGCAAAAATACAACGGGTGCTTAATTAAGTTACTTTAAGCATAGTCAAAAATTCCAGCATACCATTCAGTATGTAACGATCCTGGTTTCTAAATGTGTACAATATTGAATTCCAAATAACAGTCTTTAAACCTGGTTTCATTCGATAGAGATTATTACATATACCTATAATAGTGGTCATAGTTGTCATGGGTACGTTCATACAAAGTCCATTCTTTCGATCACAGACGTTAGGGGAACAGTTGAAACAGGTTTGTCTACAGGTGTGTCCATAGTACCCAGCATCACATTTCCTACATGTGCCTGATGACTGAAGACAGCCACTGTCCTTGCAGTTTACACATGGCAAATGACATTTAGGACCATGGTAGCCTTTTATGCATTTAACACAGTGTCCCGATGTTTGATTACAGTTTTGGTCTAGACATCTGGAGCTACATTGATCTGCACATAGCTCTCCCCAGAAACCAGGCTTACATCCATGTAAACATCGACCCGTGTCCCTATCACACGGAGACGTGCAGTTCTGTGTTGGACAAACAGAGTGGCAATTGTCGGAACAGGAGGTCTTACAGTTCTCTCCCATGAGAGTGTAGGCACATTTCTGACATTGACCTAATGTCTCATTGCATATCTCACATCCAGGCAAACACTTATCCCCACAGACATGGATGGCTAAACAGTCCTTCTTGCAGCTGCCATCACTAAGACATCCTTGTCGTCCACATGCATTTGGGCATTTGTGACATTGTTTACCAAAGTATCCGTGATCACAATTGATACAGACGCCGTCATTCTTTCGATCACATTTTGAGCATTTGTTCCTGCACGGGACGTTACACATTTTCCCCATGTACCCATCGTTACACCCATCTGTGCAGTCAATACTTCGATCATCAAGAAATGTACAGGTTCCTCTCAAACAGTTGACCGGGCAGCTTTTTCCAGCGTTGATTGGTGGACTGACAGCCGCTGGAACTGTCTTCGTAGTTATGTTTGTTGCTGTGCAGTGTCTCAACACACCTGTAAGAGCGCAAATCAGACAAATATATCGGTGGACATTGGTGGTAGTGAATGGGCAGTGTCCTTTTGGTTTAAAAGCAGATGAAAGCAATAGCATTTTCATAGTCAGTTTCAAACCTTCCCTTTCAAATTATGTGGAGAATGTCACTTATATTAACGTGGGTTAAACGGGAATAAAACGATATATGCTCTTAATGTACAATCTTTATAATTTTTATTACACTGGGTTTTACAGCGTCATGACAATTTGATTAAGTGATCTCGATTGTTAGAGGATTATCCGATAATAGAAACTTTTTTATGGTTTATGCTTCATGTCCCATGGAGTACATTATTATATTACGACGTGTACAACGCTTCAATCTTCTATTGAAAGATCATTGAAGGCACGAACACGTTTATTGATACATATACCTTGGTTATGATTCAAGGACGTTTCGGGAATATTTCAGGAATACCATCATCATTTATTATTGCTTTAGGCTACCGGCCCATTACACATTACGTAAGGAAAATATGAGTACATAACAGTGCGCAGGCAATTCGAGTCATTTTAACAAGATGTTCTAAGCATAAATGCATGATAAATATACTGAGCTTTTCTGAATCATATCATCATTGTTAGTGGTTATTAACAGAATGAAATTATGAAACAATGGGGTTTTTTTTACTTTTTTTTTCAAATAGCAAAGTGAGTAAAACTCCTCAACTATGGCGTGACGAGAACAACTTTACACAAATACACAAGTCCATTGTAAAAACAAAGTTTTATTCAAAAAGGAATTTCCTGGAAAAACCTTGGTACGCAGCAACAAGAAACATACAGAATCTCCACAAAGTGTTCCTGAAATAAAAAGAAAGATGATGTAACTGGATGATATTTCACCATTACCACTCGGGACCATCTATTTATGACATGTGTCGAATTGTAATTACGTTTAAATGAAGATGTTCCCCTCTTGGTACTTTTTTCGTGTAAAAACAAAGTCCTTTGTTACTGGTTTAGTTTAGTAGTGTTTCAGTTATTACATGAGTGAATGAGTTTAGTTTTACGCCGCAATATTCCAGCTATATGGAGGCGGTCTGTAAATAATCGTGTCTGGATCAGACAATCCAGTGATCAACAGCATGAGCATCGATCTGCGCTATTGGGAACCGATGACATGTGTCAACCAAATCAGCGAGCCTGACCACCCGATCCCGTTAGTCGCCTCTTACGACAAGCATAGTCGCCTTTCGTGGCAAGCATGGGTTGATGAAGACCTATTCTACCCCGGATCTTCACGGGTCAGTTGTTACATGAACCTAATAGCACTGTATTAACGAAATCTGCATTGGGAAAAATATTGTTTCTTTGAGAGGCTTTGACATTACTTACACATTTACACTTCGTTTACAAACCCATTGGAATAACTAAATGAAAACAGATGATGTTGTAGAAACATTAAATGCTGTAATATGTGTAAAAACATAAATATCATACAGAAAGTATATGATCGAGTTATATGAATTACGAATTACAGGCCAGTCAGTTGACACAGTGTTGTCTTTGGAGGGCATTTAGAAGTGATGAACATAACTCAAAGATTCTTTTGAAATAAAAAAGAAGAAGTTGATATGCAAAGAATCTTTGACACATACACAGTGTTATTGTTATGAAATTTGTACTTGATATCACACTGCCTGACTCTCGGATCAAGGGGATGAAGAAGTACTGATCGTCTACGAAGCATTGTACATTGGTATCCATTCGAACCTACAGCATAGCCTCAAAAGGTTAGCACTGTGAACCAGGCATTAGTGCCGGCTAGAAAAAGCGTGCGCACATACACTCACAAGCGCATGCACGCACAGACACACGGACACGAGGATAGACACACGTACACGCATTCGCTTGCACAAGTCAACGAAACCAAATGTTTATTACAGTTAAAACGAGCGAATGTGACTCACCAATAACCCAGTAGCCCCTATAAACAGGAGGACAAGGTTTCTAGCGACCGTTTATTTACGACCCGTGACGATCCGGGTTAGAATTAATCTCCAGTAACCCATGCTTGTCTTAAGAGGCGACTAACGGGATCGAGTGGTCAGACTCGCTTACTTGGTTGACACATGCCATCGTATCCCAATTGCGTATACAGATACTCATGCTATTAATCACTGGATTGTCTGGTCCAGACTCGTGTACTTACAGACCGTCAGCACTATATAGCTGGAATTTTGCTGTGCGCGGCGTAAATCTACTCACTCACTCCACTGTTTTTGTATCCACCACAACGCGAATTATGCCAAAATGTATATTGTATATTAAAAATAATATCCTCTCCCAAAAAAGAAACGCATATAGGAATTTCAACTGTATTTTTATATTTATTTTGAAAAATCTTGTAGGCTTTATGATTCAATGACATATAGTGAAATTGCACACTGGGAATGCAGACTTATCCGTCTTTGGCACAAACTCGAGGAAAGTCAGTTTGAGTGTCACATGGAGACGTGTGGTGGCGCTGAAGTCAATACCTCGTGTGACCACCGTGGGTATTCAGAACTGTACGGCATCGCCTTGACATCGAACGAATAAGTCTCAGAATCTCGTGTTGCCCAATCGCAGCCCACTCTGCCTGTAGTGCCTGTGCGAGTTGCTGAAGTGTTTGGGGCTGAGGGTTACGGCGTCGCACCCGTCTGTCCAGGGCATCCCACAGATGTTCGATCGGGTTTAAGTCCAGGGGAGCACATTGATGTTGTGGTTCTGGAGGAAGTCTCTAGTGTGACGTGCTGTGTGGGGCCTGGTATTGTCCTGTTGAAACAACTCCCTCTGGCGATCAATGATTGGAAGGAGATGTGGGCGTATGATTTCGTCACAGTACCGTTGAGCTGTCAGGTTGCCCTGGATCATCACCAAATCACTTCTCCTACAACAGGTGATCGCTCCCCACATCCTAACACTGTCCCAGCCGAATCTGTCCAACTGGGAAACGCAAGCGTCTGCGAAACGTTCACGTCGACGTCTGTACACCCGCATTCTTCCATCTGGCACGTAAACCAGCCTCTCTCAACCTGTTCCTGACTTTCTGTGCAGAAAGCCTCCTCAATCCGGGTATTTGTCGAGCGGTACTGGTCGCCTCAGCTATTCGATGACGCAGGTGATGTACCCGGATGTAGCGATCCTGCGCCGCAGTGGTCGCTCGAGGTCGCCCACTACGAGGGGCATCTGCTACCGCATTCTGCCGGCGATATCTCTCCCAGAGCCGTGAAATGGTGCTTTGGTGAACATTCATGCGTCGGGCAACTGCACGTTGAGACTGGCCAGCTTCAAGCAAACCAATTGCGATATGACGGTTGGCTTCACTTAGACGTGGCATTTTGCGTTCGTCAACAATATTCCAAATACAGTGAATAAACAACAGACAGCGGTCAACCTTTTATACCCATCATTGAGACTATCTGTTCCCCAACTTTCACGTGCATTGCATGTGAATTGGTTATTCTGTGACACTACACTCCGAAATTGAAAATCATGCTGTTAAATACGGGTATTTTACGGATGGTGCGTTTTGTTGTGATGTTTCAAAACATAAATACCATAGGAGTCATAAACAGAACAAAACCTTTTGTAAAATGAATCACGTTTTAATTCATTGCAACATGAAATTGGTATTTAAATGATGCGTTTCTTTTTTGGGAGAGTATATTTTTTATTATAATAGCAAACAAAAACAAATCTGTAAAACATAATAGCAAGGTCGAGGTTAAGGTTCGGTGACTTACCAAAACATTGTGTTGCGCCAAAGTACTCTTCCACAAATTCATCAAATGTCGAGATACTGGCAAAATGAAACACAACTGTTGTTTCCTGTAGATAATTTTTTATGACATGACAGTATGTAAACAATAAATGGAAATAGAAACTTTTTCTTCGGTGTGATGGTATGGTCATCTTTTGTATGACACCGTACAAGGAAATAATTTTTTCCCCTATTGTTATGTGACAAAACAATGGAAGAATACGAACTGTCTCCATGTGTCCGATGTTGAAAATTACATTGCATTGAATACAATCTCAAATGGATTGACCCGGTTTGTTTGAAGACACCATGTTGTACTATGCATGTAAATGTTAGTCTTCAAAAGAAGAAGATTCTTAAACGAAGATGGATAAGATGGGTTTAACATTCGTGAAATGAGTTCCAGATTTCCTATCTCCATCGTCGAAATAAGGCAAAGGACCGAGCTTTTACTCGATATTTATTATAATTATGGAAATGATTTGTCGCACTTTTTCTGAAATTAACATAATTGTCCAAAAGGACAAAAGGGATCATTTACCTTCGTATCCAGAAAGTAGGATCTACTATTTTCAGGCTGATCCAGACATACTGGGGTTAATATAATATCCTAGCCATTAAAGGAAATAAAAAATAAACTGATGTATAAAAGAAAATACACACCTGGTGTTTTGTGACTATTTTCAAAGAACGAAATATTTTGACAATCGCTTTGACTGCGACGACTCACAACGGCTACACAACGTTATGCGACTGTTGGGATGGTCCGTGGAGATGTCTCAACGTTAGGTTGCGTATTTCCATCGCCGAAACACCATTCAAGCACTGCTGAGATGTGACCAGAACAATAATGAAATTACCGATCGCAGGACGTCCACGCGTCACAACACCACGACAGGACATACAGATCTGGCTTAACCACATTTGACAAAGGTTCCAGACTGCAGTGACCACTGTCCACACCATTCGGTAACTTCGGTCTATCCGTAGTCGACCACGTCGTTCCGCCATACGACCTATCCTGACGCATCATCAGGAGAACCGTCAAAGGTGGTGTGGTAAAGGAATGTTGTTTTTACATATTTAACATTTCCCGTACAAAAAGAATGTAGTAACAGATGTCAACGTGTCTACTAATGTCTTGGGGTCTTGGGGAGCGTTATGCTCAGGCCTTTGTCCCCGAATGGAATCCTTAGTAATTCCATGATTTGTGGTGGATTTGTGAGTGGCTGTCTCTTCATTCATTTTTATAACGAGTGTGTTTTGAATGCACTGCTATTTGAAAACAGAAGGGTCCATGCCTCTACGCTTGTATAAAAATATAAGCATGTTTCCTGGCAGTCTCACAAAACTGTTTTGGTAAAGCCATATTCAAGATTTGTCTAATTCAGTTCGGCCTTTAAGACAACTCCCCTTCTTCAGTTCATTCGAAAGGATAATGCACCTTCGGCTGAATGATGTCACACCTAGTATGTGTATTGTGTAAACAATCATATGCCCCTTCACGGCTTTAAATCAAAGTGATGTGAGCATCCGGTTAAGTTCGATCAGTTGTGTGCTATTATGCAGTAGAAAGTGAAACATAAAGGCCCATACGCCCCTCAGTTAGGAAACTGATTTTTCTACCTGTTAGCTGTCACTGACACTAAATAAATGATCACCTTCGAGAATATCCATAATGGCGCGTTGCAATGGTGTTACAAAACTGTTTCTGTGAAACATTACGCACATTTCTGTGACCTTTGACAATCGGCTCAACAGGCAAACCGACATAAAATTTTCTATTTCAAGAGGTATTTTTTCTGAAAGATTGATACAATGACATATATTGGTGTTTTATATTCTAAGGAATAAAATAACTTTCATCATGGTTGTGCCCTTGACTTTACACGTGTTTCATACAACGTCGGTGCGATCAAGGCCAAAGCCCTATTGATTGTGACAAACTCTAAGTAACGTCAGATTCCAGTTACAGATACTCAATTTATGGTGTACATAGGTTTTATGTTATTTCTACATGATGTCCACAAACAATGACCTTGAACCTCAGGCTCA